CTGACTCGTTTGCTGAGAGGCTAGTCGCGTTTGCGTGCGTTGAGGGCATCCTTTTTGGCAGCTCCTTCTGCGCCATCTACTGGCTGAAGAGCAAGAACCTGCTGCCGGGGCTGACATTTTCCAACGAGCTCATCGCCAAGGACGAGGCGCTCCATACGGACTTTGCCTGCCACCTGTACCGCGACCTGCTGGTGGGGAAGCTGTCGTCCGAGAGGGTCCTGGAGATCGTGAAGGGGGCTGTGGAGATAGAGAAGGAATTCGCTTGCGACGCACTCCCTGTTTCCCTCATTGGGATGAACCAGAAGTTAATGTCCACATACATCGAGTGCGTGGCGGACCGCTTGCTCCATAGCCTCGGTTACGAGACCCACAACGGCAGCAAGAACCCTTTCGGGTTTATGGAACTAATCTCCCTGACGTCCAAGAATAACATGTTCGAGTCGCACGTGAGCTCTTATCAAAAGGCTGGTGTGATCGAGACGCTGAACAAGGGGAAGAAGGGAGGCCTGACGTACGGCGATTTCGTAGAGGACGACTTTTGAGGAGGATGACGCTGGCGTCCGAGCTCTACGCAGTGGACGCGGTAGTAGCGAGCCTCATGTTGGTGGTGGTGTCCACCCTGGGGAACGAGGTTCCCCTGTCTTACTTGGTTCCTATCGTCTTAGACATCCTCTATTTCATTCTATCTCCTTTCTGGGACGACTGTCTGGAGTACAACTCGGACGTCAGATTCGGCTGTCAAAAGTTCTTGCTCCTGGTGACAGGATTCCTGACGGAGGGATCCACTCGGCAACCCGGCAGACTCTTCGTGTACGGGTGCATAGGTATAGGTTTGTTAGAGATGCTGATTGCAGTCGCGATCATCGTAGGACATTGTACCAGAGACGATACGACTCCGATGATAGTAGTACCAGTATCCGGACCCGTCGTAGAACCACCTAGCGTAGTCCGAGTGGAGGATACAAAGCCGCCTGATGTAGTAAGAGAGATAGAGTTGCCGGATGGTTCTAGGGCAGTAGGCATCAAACGTTGAAATGTGCATTCAGAGTGCGAAATCTTCGAAATGATGTATCGTCTTCGTACTCCTGCCCTCTCTCACCAATGGTATACCGTGTTCGCTGCAATACTCTAAGCAACGGTTTCTGTCAGCCACTAGGTAAGCAGTCTGTTCGAATATCGCTTGGACCAAATCCCAATCTAGTGCCTCGAAGATCTCGTGCGTGACGTGCCATGGCTTCAGCTTGTGGAATGCGATTTTTTCTGCCATGTTGGCGTCGGCCACTCCCATGATGGCGAATGGCTCTAGAACGAATGCGTACCGTCTCGCTATGTATAAGCTGGGGTCCCGCTGTTTGGACATTCCGACTTTCATTATCGTAGATCCGGGCGCCCGGGCTGCGTACAGGAAGCCAGTCTCCACGACCGTCTCGTCGTCCATGGTGTAGACATGATGCTTCTCATGTTCTTGCCTTTCCTATATAGTCGCTCACTTCTTCTTGAGCACGGCGGCGGCCTGTTCGGCGATCTGCCGCATGACATACTCGCCGAGGCGCTTCTCCAGCACTTGCTTCACGCCATATACGATTACAAAGGTGAAGAGGAGCGTCATCCATATGTCCCAGATGAGGGGGATAACCCCTCTCTGAGACCCCAACCAGAGGGTGTTTTCCGCGAGAGCCCTCGCCACCTCCGTCTGCCTCCTCTCCTCCGATTCATACTGCCTCTCGAGGGAAATCGACCTCAACTTGTTGCTAAACCAGTAGGCGTAGTAGAGCAGTGCGGCCGTGGCCACTATGCGTAGCACTATGAAGAATTTCTTGATCTGAGCGGCCGTGGGTCCGTTTAGAAAGTCCAATAGACCGTCGCTGTACATGCCGGTGGTATCCGCCAGCTGAGAGAGGGCGCCGGGGAGATGCTTCTGGGCAGCTCCGAAAGCTTGCCCGTAGAGAGGGTTTATCGCCTCCATCGCTCGATTATGCTAATTCCCGTGATACAGTCTGTTCAGAGTAAAATTGCATACTCGCCACAGTACCCTGCCGTATCTCGGATTCTCACCGAAGTGCCTAGATGAACACGTTTCTAGGCAGCTATGTATTGAACTATATATCTCTCATTGCCAGACTCCTGCTCTCGTGAACCCTGCTGGCCTGTCCTCGCCTCTCGCTATGCTCATACAGATCCAAGCTATGTTGCGAGCTGCATTGACGTCTCTGTTCCACACAATGCGACATAGCGGGTTAGTACACGCTCGCACGTTGTGGCACGTCTTGTAGCTCGTCCTCCCTCCTCCTTCCTCGTCCTCGTCCTCACGACGCCCTCCTTCGGTCACCGTCGGGAGTCCATCCTCCATCACCCGCTGCCTCTTCAGCACGGCGAATTTCCCTACGTCCGAGTGGCACGTGCTGCACACCTGGCTCGTCCTGAACTCGTCTATCATGACCACCGTCGCCCCGTGATGGCTGCTGAGTCGTCTCTTCACCGACTCGCATGGCCCACACTGCCTCTTGGTCCTGCCCGCCCACACCTCTGCGGCCCCGAAAGCCACCACGGTCTTCTTCCCTGCCGTGATCCTCTTGCACGCTCTGTCCACCTCGATCTGTCTCTTGATCGTCACTCTCCGCCTCAGCTTTCGGACCCTCCTCGCTGTATGAAAGCGTACCAGGTCGTACAAGCTCGCCATAACGAAGCTCACCCTCTTCCCGAACTCCTCCAGGCTCACGGTGTTCCCGGGAGGAGCATCTTTGTTGAAGGCTGCCACGTCCAGGTCTCTGGACATCCAGGAGTGCATGAGGGACGTCCGCTTCTCGAATCCTGCTCGGTGGTAGAAATCCCGGGTTCCCAGGCCGATGACCTCCTCCTGATGCGCGATGCCATCCCAGTCGCCCGTCACGGCGATGCCCGTGAGGAAGTCAGGGTGCTTTCCTGGGTCCAGCCCCACCACGCGCTGCTTGGGGTGAATATGCACCGCTCGGTCTTGCGGAGAGGGCGTCCTCTTCTCCACCAAGAAGTACACACTAGCGGACACTCCATCCGTGGTGATCCGGTCCGCGAATCTCTTCCCACCGCTCTCCAGCCGTCCGATGGAGGGAAAAGCATCGCGGAGCACTCCCGGAGCCTTTCTCTTGCCGCTCTTTGGCTGCAGCTCGGGCCACGTGGTAGGGGTGATGGCGATGAAAGGTGCAGAGAAGGAGGCGTGAGGCACGAGGGAGAAAGACCGCAGCACGCGGTCCGAGAACTCCTCGCTGATGATCCTCATCCAGGGCATGTAGAGGTGAGGTCTGCTCTGAGGTGCTGCCGGCAGCGGCCCGACCTGCGGCCTGACGGACTCCACGAGATCCTGCAGGTGCTCGATGGCTGCCTCTGGAATCCTGCCGTCGATACGAGGATACTCCGGGAGCAGCTCTTGGACGCTCTCGTTCGGACGCCACAACGTTGCGGTCGTCAGCAGCCGGGTGCACGACTCCAGATCCTCGTCCGTGTCCCCAAAGAACGGCACATCTGGAGAAGCCTCTCGGAGGAGTAGCTTCATGAAGGCCCTGTGTCTTGACTGGAAGAGGACCGCGATATGATTCTTGATGTTGCTAAGGAGCTGGTTGCGGAGGTCCAGGAGGACGTTGGTGATACGAGGGAGGCAGCCGTTGTTCGGACGATTGGTGCAGAGGGGGAGGTAGTGGTGGGCGAATGTCTCGTGGAGGTCTGGGTCTGCTTGCGGATTCTTGGAGTACGTACACTGCATAGCACGTCCGACCAAGTTCTGGTCGATGACGGGTATGGGCCGTCCGTCATTCAGAAGGCGGATGAAGTGGAGGTTGAGCAGGAGGCAAGTCTCGACTCGGATGCGAGTCACCTCCGGGATGATCTCCTCGATCCGATCTCTTATGCCGAGATCTTGACAGAGGAACTTCCATCCCGTCTGAACCACGGATGTCTCCTTGTCCTTCCTGAGTGCTCTTCGGAGAGTGATATCTGGACGCTTCCTCTTCGCCGTCTCGGAGTCATTTGCCCCTTCGTCCATCTGGGAATGTTTGTGGAAATGACATCTTTCTGACATTTATACTCCGTGAGGGGTTGTCCGAAGGTCCTTTCGGGCTGAAGTCGTTCGGACGCCCGTGGCCACCACTTGGCGAACTAGACGCTCTCGGACTTTGGATACCTGTAGCCACTATGTGGCAACCCAGAGGCCTTTTGAAGTTCAGACGCTCTCGGAGCTCGGACGGTCCGATCGCTGGAAAAAAAAGGTGTGCCATTTTACTCTGGACAGACGGTAATTTTCTGGTGGAAAATGAGGAGATGCAGGACTACAAGCGAAGCGCTTCCCTGAAATTCGGGCGGCGGGCGTCGATGACCAAGTCTCGTGACTTCGAACCCACGGTTTTGGTGAGCGGACCGCTGCAGGGAAACATGCACAGCGTACCACACTCCGCGGTCTTGGACGCCATAAAGACCGGCGAGGTACAAAAGACGTCGATCTTGGGAGCCCTCTCGGAGGATGAGGAGGGTGAGGAGGACGAGGAGAATCCTCGATCCCCATCCACGGTACGCGAGACCCGTCTCTCGAGGAGATTGCTCGCGTATGGGCAGATGGCGCTGGGTGGATACTTGGTAACGCAGATCGTGATCTCCCTGCTCTTCTTCTCTAGGTCCACCATCTCGGAGCTGGAGGTCTGGAAGTGGACCGTCCTGCTCCTGACGCTGCTCTCGGGCAGGCTCATAGGGAGGGTTCTGGTATACACGATGATCTTCTTACTCCAGATGATCTTCAAGGACAACGGAAAGATACTGTATGTGGCTTACGGCGTGCGAAGGTCCGCCTGGAACGTGATCTGGTGCCTGCAAGTCCTGTGCGTCTGGACGCTCCTCTTCAACGGGAGGAGGAAGATCGTGGGCAAGATACCAGTCAAGGTGAATCAGATACTAGTGTGCACTCAGATCGCCACCCTCGTGATGGCGGGAAAAGTGATATTCATCAAGATCCTCGCGAACGCATTTCATAGAAAGGCCTACTTCGAGAGGATCAGGGACGCCATGTTCGACCACTACGTCATAGAACGACTCTCCATACCTGCTTACATGCTCAATAGATCTTCAAGGATCGAGGTAGACTCAGCGACGACCGGCATACGCGGCGAACCCCACGAGGAGGTGGGAGTCCTGGCTACGCTCTCTCAGGGGCAACTCGGCGTTCGGACGTTCCAGAGCATCATGCGCTTCGTGCGCAGCACCAAGATCACGACCATCTCCACGCAGCAGCAGAGGGACGTCCGGAGCGAGGAGCACGGACGGGACGCCGCGAGGGACATCTTCAAGAATGTGGTACCAGAGGGGAGACACCATATGGTGATTCATGACCTGTTCCATTTTTTGGAGGAGAACGACGCCGAGCGGGCTTTCCAGGCCTTTGAGAGCGAGGAGGGCGTGGTGACGTGCGAATCGTTCGAAAACTGGCTCATCAACGTAGTGCGCGAGCGGAAGGCATTGGCTCTGACGTTGAGCGACACGAAGACTGCGATAAGATCCCTCAGCAGGCTGTTGGATTGGGTGGTGGGAGTTATCGTCGTCCTTATGTGCCTCTTCGTGCTCAACGTCAACGTGCAGAAGCTGCTCGTCGTCACGTCGGGATCCTTCCTGGCCTCCCTATTCGTCTTTGGCAACACCTGCAAGACCGTATTCGAGTCCATAATCTTCCTCTTTGTTACGCACCCCTTTGACGTTTCGGATATCATCAGGGTGGACGGGCAAACTTACGTGGTGGAAGAGATGCAGCTGCTGTCCACGATCCTCCTAGCAGCGGACAACAGCAAGGTATACTACAGCAACAATCAACTGGCTCTGAAGGTCATCAGCAACTACTACAGGTCCCCCGATCAGATCGAGCTCATCGATCTGGCGCTGGGCTGGGGCACCCCCCAGAAGAAGATCGAAGAGATGAGAGCGTGCATCTTGCGCTTTCTTCAAGCGAACCCAGAGCAATGGTACCCAAAGGTGACGTTGAACATGAAGCAGTTTGATAACGAAAAGATACTACTAACTTTTCTCGTGTCGCATCGCACGAATTTTCAGCAAGTCGACGTCAGACTGGCCAATAAGAACCGGCTGATGCTCACCGTCATGAAGGCACTCGCCGAGCTAGATCTGTTGGCAGATGGGGTTACCAAGATAAAATTCGTGCAGGATGACGCATTGCATGATCTACCACCCCCCTTTCTTTCGCCGCGGGATAGAACCCCTAGGGCCGATGCCTCAGACCTTAACACCAGGTCGGGATAGGGATATAGTTTGCGACATGACGGCGCAGGAATAGGCGAGGCGGGTTTCAGAGCCAGAACGATCTCATCATCTCGTCCCTAGACCTCACGCGCCGCTTCAGCTCCTTCATCTCCGCTCTGGTGAGACCCTTTCTCAGAAGCTTCTCGGTCAGCCGATGGATGCGGTCGGCGTTGGCAGGGTGAGCTCTCATGGTCATTCTCTTTGGCACTGCTCTTCTGCCGGACTTGGCCCGCTTGTGTTGATAGCACCGCTTATGACCGGAAGACACGGTCCTACGACAGGTCTTACCGGATGCGGTCTTTGCGCCGCACTTTGCCATCACTCGTATACTCGAAGTGCTAGATAGTATCTTTGACACGTCTCGATCTGCGAAATCTTTTAGTGGGAACCAGTCCGTGATGAAAGGTTCTCTCAGCACCTCCCCGATCGAAGGTCTCGTCTCTAAGGGCCTGATGCACTTTTCCACGAGTGCCCGAAGATTCTTGTTCTTTATGAAGACGAGTTCGTCCGGAGAGGCACCGTCCAGGACCAGCATGTACAGCTGACTCTGATTCTTGATCATGGAGTAGGGCTTCTTCAGCGTAGCCATCTCGATCAGCGTCATGCCCAGCGAGTAGATGTCGCCCTTGCGGCTGGCGCGGCCGCTGAGGACCTCGGGTGCGATGAAGTGAGCCGTACCGAGGACGGAACGATCGGACTTGGACCTGCTCATCATCGTCGCGAAGCCTAAGTCTCCTAGGGCGACGTCGCCCGTGTAGTTGTTCACGAATATATTGGCGCACTTTATGTCGCGGTGAGCGATCGGATTCTCAAAGTGACAGTGCAGATACTCTATTGCCTCGCAGATCTGGATAGTCCACTTTCGTATCACGCACGGTTCCTGCTTGCCATGCTTGCGAACGTAGGCATCCAGAGATCCGTGATATAAATCGGTTATGAGGATCACCTCGTTCGTCCGCTTCTCTATCCAGAAGCTGATCAACTTCACGATGTTAGGGTGGTCCAGCGATTTCATCATATCGATCTCGTCGAGTATGTCTGTGGTCTCCCTCGTACCCTCTGACGGCAATGGAGCCCTGCTCCAAGCGACCTCGCGGCCCGTCTTTCTGTCGAATGCTCGGTACACTCTCTTGCTCCCACCAGTACCCAGGGGCTCCGACTTGCACACGAAGCGATTAGTGGGGTCTCTCCATATGGCGAGCCCTATAGGCATGTCCTTATACGTGCCCAGATTTGCCCCGAGGACGGGGTCTGATACTCTCGAGGGATACAGTCTGTTCAGAGTAAAATGGCACACTCGCCACAGTACCCAGCCGTATCTCGGATTCTCACCGAAGTGCCTAGATGAACTCGTTTCTAGGCAGCTATGTCTTTCGACTAATTCTCAGTCATCCTCACATTCCTGCTCTCGTGAACTCCGCTGGCCTGCCCTCGCCTCTGACTATGCTCATACAGATCCAAGCTATGTTACGAGCTGCGTTGACGTCTCTATTCCACACCATGCGACAGAGCGGGTTCGTACACGCTCGCACGTTGTGGCACGTCTTGTAGCTTGTCCTCCCTCCTCCGTCCTCGTCATCGTCCTTGCGACGCCCTCCTTCGGTCACCGTCGGGAGTCCATCCTCCATCACCCGCTGCCTCTTGAGCACGGCGAACTTGTCGACGTCCGAGTGGCACGTGCTGCAGACCTGGCTTGTCCTGAACTCATCTATCATGACCACCGTCGCTTTGTGGTGGCTGCTGAGGCGCCTCTTCACCGACTCGCATGGCCCACACTGCCTCTTGGTCCTGCCCGCCCACACCTGTGCTGCTCCGAAAGCCACCACGGTCTTCTTCCCTGCCGTGATCGCCCTGCAAGCTCTGTCCACCTCGATCTGCCTCTGGATCGTCACTCGCCGTCTCAGCTTCCGGACCCTCCTCGCGGTGTGAAAGCGTACTAGGACGTACAGGTTCGCACAGACGAAGGTCACCCTCTTCCCGAAGTCCTCCAGGCTCACGGTGTTCCCCGAAGGAGCATCCTTGTTGAAGGCTGCTACATCCAGGTCTCTGGACATCCAGGAGTGCATGAGGGACGTCCGCTTCTTGAAACCCGCTCGGTGGTAGAAGTCCCGGGTTCCCAGACCGATGATCTCTTCCTGGCGCTCGATTCCGTCCCAATCTCCGGTCACGGCAATGCCGGTGAGGAAGTCTGGGTGCTTTCCTGGATCCAATCCCACCACGCGCTGCTCGGGGTGGATGTGGACCACTCTGTCCTCCGGAGGGGGCGTCCTCTTCTCCACCAAGAAATACACGCTTGTAGACACTCCGTCCGTGGTGATCCGGTCTGCGAAGGTCTTCCCACCGCTCTCCAGCCGTCCGATGGAGGGAAAAGCATCGCGGAGCTCTCCGGGAGCCTTTCTCTTGCCGGTCTTGGGCTGCAGCTCGGGCCATGTGGTGGGAGTGATCGCGATGAAGGGTGCAGAGAAGGAGGCATGAGGCACGAGGGAGAATGACCACAGGTCGCGGTCCGAGAACTCCTCGCTGATGGTCCTCATCCAGGGCATGTAGAGGTGAGGTCTGCTCTGGGGCGCCGCAGGCCGCGGCCCAACCTCCGGCCTGACGGAGTCGACCAGATCTTGCAGGCACTCGATGGCTGCCTCGGGGATCTTTCCGTAGATGCGAGGATACTCCGGCAGCAGCTCTCGAACGCTCTCGTTCGGACGCCACAACGTGGCGGTCGTCAGCAGCCGGGTGCATGACTCCAGATCCTCGTCCGCGTCCCCGAAGAACGGCACCTCAGGAGCTGCTTCTCGGAGGAGTAGCTTCATGAAGGCCCGGTGTCGTGACTGGAAGAGGACCGCGACGTGATTCTTGATGTTGCTGAGGAGCTGGTTGCGGAGGTCCAGGAGGACGTTGGTGATGCGAGGGAGACAGCCGTTGTTCGGACGGTTGGGGCAGAGGGGGAGGTAGTGGTGGACGAATGTCTCGTGGAGGTCTGGGTCCGCTTGCGGATTCTTGGAGTACGTACACTGCATAGCACGTCCGACCAAGTTCTGGTCGATGACGGGTATGGGCCGTCCCTCATCCAGGAGGCGGATGAAGTGGAGATTGAGCAGGAGGCATGTCTCGACTCGGATGCGGGTCACCTCCGGGATGATCTCCTCGATCCGATCTCTTATGCCGCGTTCCTGGCAGAGGAACTTCCATCCCGTCTGGACCACGGATGTCTCCTTGTCCTTCCGGAGTGCTCTTCGGAGAGTGATATCTGGACGCTTCCTCTGCGCCTTCTCGCAGTCATCTGCTCCTTCCTCCATCTGGGAATGTTTGTGAAAATGACATCTTTCTTGCATTTATACTCCGAGAGAGGTCGTCCGAAGTGAAGAACCTTTCGGACTGAAGTCGTTCGGACGCCTGTGGCCACCACGTGGCGAACAAGAAGCCCTCGGAGTTCGGACGCCTGTGGCCACCACGTGGCGAACTAGAAGCCCTCGGAGTTCGGACGCCTGTGGCCACCACGTGGCGAACTAGAAGCCCTCGGAGTTCGGACGCCTGTGGTCACCACGTGGCGAACTAGAAGCCCTCAGAGTTCGGACGCCTGTTGCCACCACGTGGCGAACTAGAAGCTCTTGGAGTTCAGACGCATGTGGCCACCACGTGGTGATCTAGGAGCTCTCGGAGCTCGGACGGTTCGATCGCTGAAAGAAAAGGTGTGCCATTTACTCTGGACAGACTGTAATATCGAAGAAGGACAAACGACGAAACCGCGAAAAGTCCGCTCAAGCGTCCGTCGGAGAGCCTTCCGGCATGCCCGTCGAATCTGCGTGGTATTCTTCTTCGGTCTCGTCAGACTTTACATCCTGAGGTGCACGTTCGGTAGCCGATTCTTCACGCAGACACGCGATGTACGTGGCCAGCCTGTGGTAGCGCATGTCCCCCTCCACGAGCTGTAGCAACTTACCCCATAGTTGACTCAAAAAGCCAGAGCTCGCCACTCTGCTCACCGTGGCTTCCCCCTTCACCGATTGAAGCTCGGGCGTCTGCACGAAATAAGCAGCAGGCAGGATCTTGGGTATAGGATCGAGCACGTGGGCGACCCTCACGCTTTCCTTTACCACCGAAGAGAAGGCCGATACGAAGGCTGCGTTGCCCACTCCTGGCGAACCAAAGGTCACGCAACGGACGTCCTTGATGTCGAGCGCACTCGCCACGTGCAGAGCGCAGAGCTGGGCCTCGACTGCCCCCATTGAATGACCCGTCACCGTCATGGATCGTCTTTTCCCAAGGTATGCTCGAGGATGGCTATGCAACTGCATGCGACTCGGCGGTAGGCGTCGGCGAAACCATCGTGGACCAACGCGCCATCCACCTTCGTTATCTTCCTACAGGGCTCCCTCCTCCATAGCTCGAGGTCGCTTCCGATGTCTCTCCAGCTCACGGTGCCCCTGAATGCGAGGACGACGCTCTTGCCCCTCTTCGCCATCACGACACCCTCCGCCACATCCCGGATCTCGTAACCGAGCAGTAGGTCTCTGCACGAGTCAGGCAGCTCTCTGTTTATTCCCGCGAGGCCGGTGTATGCAGCCCACGAGATGGCTGCGCAATCGAGGAGAGAAGCCATCTTTGCATACACAATGTTTGAGAATATTCGATGGTCCGACGCCTAATGTTTTCCAAGGATAGTATCAAAGAAGATGAACGCCAGGAGACTGACGCTCTCGAACCTGAACGAGAACGCGAGGTTAGCCATCTGGGCTGGCTTGAACGCACGCCAGAGCGCGGTGGCGTCCGAAGTCTCTCGGATCTTTCGATCGAACGGCAGGAACCGACTCACCGACCTGGGCCGGGAGTCGTACCGCGAGATAGAGCGATTGCGTGCGGAGTGCAAGCCCGCTGCGCAGGCCAAGGAGCCCGATCGGAGCCAGGACGACCGGAAGAGATCGACCGCGGCGGCCCTCTGGAATCGTCTCAGACCCTTTCTTCAAGCGGGTGGACTTGGGGACATTGATCAGTCGACGGCCATCGCCCTCTTCGACCCCGGAGCTCGGGCGGTCGTAGGTTACGTGGTGACCACCTTGGCACCCATGAGAGAGGTCCTTACGGATCTGTATCTCGATCGACGGCAGTGGGGTCAACCCGACCGTTTCCACGACCGCAATCTCCAGCTGCCGATGAGGGCCGTGTGGAAGCAGCTCCTCCGGGTGGCTAGGCCCGGACTCAGGTCCCTCTTGGACGACCTGAGCAGCCTAGATGATGGGTACCTAGAAAGGATAGAGGGTCTACGGCAGGCTATAGCGGACTTCCTCACCAATGACCTGTTGCGGATCAGAGGCTACAGAAACTTTGTAGAGGCCACCCTACCTGTGTTGGGACAATTCTCGATGCGGCAACATCTCCCTGACACGATCGTCAGAGCGGATGACTCCCGGGAAATGGAGCATCTGGCACTGCTCATCCGGCAGCATAACGACCAGGTCGATGGGTACGCGCGTTTCCTCTTAAACAGATCCGAAAATCTACACAGACTGCGACTGGAGCTACAGACTCGTCCCTACCGTCACATATGGGCTCTCCTACAGGATCCAGTGGAGGCACAAGCATTCATCGACTCCCTTCCCACTTACCATAGACAGCTGCAGGACCTGGTTCATGATAGAGAGAAGAGCACGGACAATCACTATCGGAGGATCCGGTCGGTCTGCGCGAGATTGCTCCGATTGTACGGCATCGATCCGGCGAGCGTCGGCAACATCACACCGCAAGAATGGAAGGTACGGAGAGGGAACGCCGATCGATTCCTTGCTGATGCATCGGACGAGGTGAGGAAACTCATAGAGCGATTCCTCCTAGCCAGGAGAGATGCAGACTTTGATACCTGGAGAGAGTGTCTGTGGCGATGGCTGGTGGTGCAGAGGACGGGCTTGCAGTACTCGAATACGCCACACGAGCAGCAGCTCCTCAAGCCTTACTTGAGGGAACCGGAGAGACACATGCATCCATACCCAAAATTGAAGCGAAATCCGTTCACCGGAGAGGACTTTTAGTGAACGTGCGTGGGGTTCGTTTTCTTTTCTCGAGAACTTGATACGATATGGACAAGGAGCAAGCTACGCAGCTTCTCTCCAAGTATGATGATTCTACAAAGTTATTCTCGTTGGCGGGATTGCAAGCGTGGGCGCGAATTGTAGGTATGCACGACCTCGATACTTGTACGGTCGTCTTTCCATTCCAGAACAATGACGTCCACAAGATTATCGTGCGACTGCTCGGCATCGACGCACCAGAGATGAATGCAAAAGACCCCGTGGTGAAAGCGTGGGCCATAAAGGCGCGCAACCGTATGCTCGCTCTCGTGGCACCTGGGGTGTTTGAGATAGACGGAAAATATGCGAGGAAAGATATCAACAAGCTTTTCAGAGAGAATGTGGCGTTGATCTGGATGGATGCGAAGGGTTGGGATAAGTACGGGAGGTGTCTTGGAGATATCTACCTCTCACCTGACGATACAAAGTCTCTGCAAACCATCTGCATCGAAGAAGGCTATGCTGAGGTTTACGGTGGTGGTACTAAGAAGCATTGGGTGCCGGAAGACTGCGTCCAGAAGAAGTCTTCAGGCGAGCTTGTACCTACTACGTGACATGCTTGTGCGTTGCGTAAGAAGTAAAAAAGCAGTGGGTATCCACGGACTGCGTTTCAAGGATTCAAAATATTCGAACGCGAACTGCTGAGCCGCTTAGATCGGGCGAGGCTGAGGATAGTGGACAACATGGTCTCGCGGGAAATCGGCTTCCGGATGTAATCATTCATTCCCACCTCACGGCACTTGATCGCATCGTTCTCCATGGCGTGGGCGGTCAACGCAACGATGGGGACCCGCCCCGGGAGGGCACCGTCCGTTTCCAGCTTACGGATCTGCCTTGTAGCCTCGTAACCATCCAAACGAGGCATCTGCAAATCCATGAGGATGATGTCGTAGTCAAACGGCCGCTCGCAATAGATGTCCAGAGCCGCCTTTCCGTCTTCCGACATCGTGGCTCTAGCCCCCTCTTTTAGCAGGAAGCGCTCCAGGATTTTACTAATGAGTCGTGTATCCTCCGCCACCAACACGCGGATGCCTTCCAACGGAGAGTCGTCGTTCTTCATGGTCTCGCTCACCACCTCGGACCTCCTGATGGACGCGGATGGGACGCCAAGTGACACTGAAAATCGGAAGCAGGTACCCTGGCTCGACGAGGAATCCACGGTGATGTCCCCGCCCAATAGTCTGCAAAGCGAACGCACTATGCTCAGACCGAGACCGCTACCTCCGTAAAGAGTTTTCATACGATCGTTGGCCTGCACGAATTCTTCGAAGATGGCTTCTCGTCGAGAAGGATCGATACCTATGCCCGTGTCTCTCACCATGATCTCTACGAGGTACCTATCGTCCGTTTTCACTGGATTCCCCGCGACCTCGATCTCGATACGCCCGTGGTCCGTGAACTTTGCCGCATTGTTTAGGAGGTTGTCCAGGATCTGCCGCAACACGCGGCGGTCACCCACGAATTCCTTTGCCATGTGCTCATCGTACTTGAGGCTCGTGGTCACTCCTTGGGGTGTTAGGAGAGGGGCTATGGCTGCTAAAGCGGCCTTCAGCTCGGCCTTCAGGTCGAACAGTTGCTTCTCCACGTTTGTCTTTCCGGCTTCGTTCTTCGCGAGGACGAGAATTCCGTCTAAAAGGTGCAACATATCGATGCTCGTCTTCTTCAACAGGTTCACGTTCTCCATGAGGTCCTCTTGTTTACAATCGTTCTGGAGCTCTTCCAGCAAACCCATGACTACGGTCATCGGCGTCCGCAACTCGTGGCTCAGCCTGGTCAACAGAATCTGCTTGAGCTTATGCTGTTCTTCCTCGTGTTTGGCGGCGGCCCGTAGGATCCGCTCCCGCTTCCGCAACCTGAAGAAGGCAATACTGACTACCAGCGCGAACACAGCCCAGAGGGCCATGGCCGCGCAGAAGACCCCGATGGTCACGGTCCTGTCGTGGTCCACCCGAGCGAAGAAGTAGTCCCTCGGCATGAGGACTACCATCGTAAGATCGACGTTGTTCAGAAGCTTCTTCACTCCCACGAAATACCTGCGACCCCGCAGGCGTATCTGCAGGTTGTAATCCTTCTCGTCATAGAGTGCGTTTCCGAGCTTGCGGGCGCTTTCGGAGACAAAGGGGTCGGTCGAGTTGTAGGCGTTCACGAATTGCGTGAAGTTAGGGCTCTGCGTCAGGGGGAGCAGATCGCCACTCTGACGTATTGTCACGTACGTTGTGGAGAAATCCGTGCGATTCCTGCTCGCCAGGGTCGACAGGACGAAGCTGACGTCCAGACCCAAGTTGACCGCTCCTCTCAGCGTATCCGTACTGTCGGAAATCGCGTAGCTGACGATGACGGTGGGATAGCCCAGCACGCTCAGCAAGGGCGTGACGATCGCTCTGTCCTGCTGCGCGACCGCTCTCACGTACCATTCTCTGTATTGTAGGGGTGGGGTTGCGATGAAGTTCGTAGGGATGGGCGATGCTCTGCCTGAATCGTATGATACCTCGTAACCAGTGATGTTGGGTGCATCCGTCGCGTTTCGTGTGTATTCTATGATGCTGTTACCTGTCCGGACGAAAGAAAGGGACAGATTGCTCGCGGACTGGAATCCGGCGCTGGTGAAGTACCTGGAGCCCTGCAAGGTTTCCCCAGAGGGCGGGGCTTCTTGCGTGGATGGCGTCCCAAGTGTCTTCATTGCCTTCTAAACCGGAAGCTATGGCCCGGCCGGCCGTCACGCACGCTCTCATAGAGCCATCGACCACGTTCTTGATCTCATCTTCGATTCCGGAGAGCGTTTCCAGCTCTAGACTCGCCGCGAGAGGACTCCGTGCGGAGCTGCTGGGGGACCACCCGACCATGTAGAGCATGGTTGCCAAAAACGATATGAATACTACTCCACCACAAACGGTAGTAGCTTTGTATGATGCAGTGGGCATACTTTTCTGATATATGAGAGGATTTTTGTCAGTACTCTCACGTTACCTGATAGTCAAAACATGATCCTACAGTAGATACGGCAGAGTACTATGGCGAGTGTGCCATTTTATTCTGAACAGGCTGTAGCATGACATTCATATGGCATGGCACCTCCCCGGACCTGACGGCGTAGATCCCCACCATCTTGCTTCTCTGCGTCTGTCTCTATGCCGAAAAAATGAAAGTGAGCAGGACTCCCCTTAGGCACAATGCAGAGGTTTGCGCGGGAAAGTTTGTAAAATATCTGGATCGTCATATGTGTCGCGGACGGTCGTGTCTGGCGTCATCTGGTAACGGTAGACTACGGTAATGGTATACTTCAAGGGAGAATCACATGTCTCAAGGAGTGCAAGGTTCTTTTAGATTAAGCCCCCGTGCAAGACCAACGACAGATCGACCAGAGCGGTTTTCTCACTGCAATTTGTGGCTGCTCAAGGGAAAAACACACACAAGAGGGACAATGGCTCCTGCATGCGACCACTGTGGTTCCCGTGATGACCTGAAACGGTGTGGAAGGTGCTTCTACGTATCCTACTGCAGCACGGTCTGCCAGAGTGCAGCTTGGAAAGATGGACACAAGGCAGTCTGCAAGGTACCCGCTCACGCAGACATCCCAGCGAAAGTCCAAAAGAAGGTCGGTAGAAAGGAGGCGCGGAATGTCATGGGTACGAGCAAGGTAGAGACACAGGAGGAGCACGGTGGGCAGGGAACGTTCGTCAAGTTCGACCGCGATGGACTGGCAGAAAAGTTGAAGGCTATGCGTGCCGTAGCAGAATACTGGCTGATACCCGTGGGTGCTTCCAAGTCTTTCCCCCTGCTAGGACATCTGAGCAAGGACGATATAGCGCGAGTGCTGAAGGTTGGGAACAAGCAGAGCCTCTCAGAAAAGGAAGAGTATAGTGTAATGTCAGGAGTCAAGGTGCGTTATTTCTACGATAAGTCTGCACCAGAGACTGGGGACGTGAACATAAACACCATGCAGCTCACATCAACATCGTTCGACCTCCCTGTTGTAATGCAGTTCATGTAGCAGAAAAAGATAAATAAATAATAAATATTTTATTTATATAAACTATAAACTATAAACTATAAAAATCTATATAATTATAAACTTTATATAAATATATAAAAAAATCATCGTCAGGAGTTGTTGACCACATGTGGGGCGCACATCGACGACCTCAAATGGGCGGCCTCCCAAACATGACATCCGACGGCTTCAAAAGCGGCGGCTGCCATATCCGACGACTTTAAATGGGCGGCCTCCCATACCTGACATCCGACGGCTCCAAAACGGCGGCCGTCGCCATCGACGACTTTGAATGGGCGGCCTCCCAACCCATCCGCCAACTTGGATACGGTGTCCGCGCAAATGCAGCACAGAGGCGTTCACTTCAACCTTTTAACCAACGGGTGGATAAAAGGAGAGCAAAAGTTCGATGCCCAGTTCATTCCGAGATTTCGCAAGCAAATTGTCCGTTTGGCAAGCATGGCAAAACGCCAGAGCAGTCACCCAGCTACGTATCTTCTCGTGATCCTAGGATTCAGCATCCTGCAGGTGCATCTGGGGAACGCTTTTTGCGACGACGTCCGTGTGGCCTGCAAGATCATACAAGGAGGCGTTGTATCCAAGGTGAACATGACTTCTTATCCTAGATGAAGTTTCTTGGCAGGCAAGATTGTACGCTGTGCTTTTGTTGCGTTGGGCCCTGGTCGAAACAGTTATTGGATTTCATGTGCGTCTGTTTCTGGCTCCTTGGTATTCCCGGAGTATGGTTCACGTGTGGCCCCTTGGTGCTTCGCATTCCATTTTTAGAAGAGGTGGTCTTTGCTGTGCAGGCAGTGGAGAGCAAGTGCGATGGCGGGGCTACTTTGAGCGCCATCCCTGGCGTCAGCGTTGTCTTCAATGGAGCCTGCTACAAGAAGCAGGTCGTTCAGGACAACTATGCCTACCTGGTTGCTGGCCACATCACCGTGGGCACCTGCTTCAAGCTGTGGTCGGACTATTGTGAACCGGCTCACTGCGAGGGTGGTGAAATGGGTCTGCAGTGCACGAAGCAGATCCCTGGTTGTACCGTGTATCTGAACAATAGCACTACTTTCGAGACACACCAGGTTCAGAAAGGTGAAACATGCGTCTCAGTGGCCAAGAAGTGTGGTGTGTCTTTGTCTGACCTTGAGAATCTTAACCCCAATGTCTGCGGCCCCCAGATGCAGATTGGGCAGGTGCTCAAAGTCAGGAAGACCTATCAGCAGGGACCGGGAACTCCAATGTGCATTGGAGAGAGAGTCAACAGTCCGTAGGAGAGTACTTGTGTGTAGATAACCATCAACAGTGAAAGTAGGTAGCAGCAGGGTGGGTGCATGTAGTCGGGAAAGTGACAGTCTCCTGCTTGGGCAGATGGACTTGGACGCCAGGACAACCAAATAAAGCCACATATCGAACATCGTTTTTTATATACCACGTCATACCATTGTTGATCGGTCATTTTTGCATTCACAACGTTGGTTTTGCATGTGTCATTCACCATGCCACACAACCGAAATCGTATCAAATAGAGCAAGCCGACCTGGCCTTCAGTTCATATCAGATCCATGTTGCAAATCCTGTGGAGCGAAATAGGCCGCTCTGCATAGCAACTGCTGTCCGCAGAGTTACCCCCAATGAATCCTCACATAATCTTGGACCAGAGCGATCACATCGGACTTGATGTCATGACAGCTGATAATCACAAAGTAAATGCAAGAACACGAATCACATATGCAAGAGACTTGATCTTAGATGGCTATGAACCCATTCCATACTAGTCCCGATAAGCCATTAAAATGGCGGCCGTTATGTGGAGACTAAGCTAAAGGGTGCTGTCGAGTAATTTAATGTAGGAGAACTTCTGGGCTTGGAACTCATAGATCGTGTTGCAGAGCTTTGAATAATCGAGCTCCTCGGGGCTCCCGAAAAACTTCAATCCCTTCAGGCAGATTGCCATTTGCAACACACAAGTCTCGCGTTGCCAACCGGGACCTGCAAAATGATACACAAAGTTGATTTTGGTCAGCAAACCGTCTCGTTGAGTCTTACCACTTTGCGTGCACCTTGCACCAACACGACCTGCACTAAGAATCTACAACACTGCAGCTTGTATCCGTTTGACTGATGCTCCAATTCAAGCGCACATCTCCTTACCTTCATTTCCAATGAAGAGGCGGTCCACAGAAGGTGGCTTGTACGAGGGCACCCGATGGTGGTGATACGCCAACGAATCACTCGTATACGGATCAAACGGATGCGCCCGCGAGACATATGCCAACGGAGATTCCGGAGACCTCTGCCGCGACATCTGCGGCGGAGCACATTGAGAGATCGTCCGCGCGGTTGATCGCATCCGTCGCTGCTGCAGAAAGGTCGAACAATCAGTGGCGAAATTTGCAGAGACCCGTAATGCACAGCAATGCTAGCCATCGGACAAACCAAGCTATCAATCTGAAACCAACATGTCAGATTGGATAAACGAGTTTCGCTAGATACCTTGCGGGGAGACTGCTGTGGGCACGCAGCCTCGTCCTGCAGAAGTGGCGAACAATAAGTGACAATCTGCAGAACACCTGCAATACATTGCAATGCTGGCCATTGGACGAATCAATTTATCAGTCTGAATCAACCAAACGTCCATATCAGATCAAAAATCGAGTATCGCTAGATACCTCATCAAAGTTGCCCAAATGGGACTCCCGGCAACAAAGTACTAAAGATCCCTTTGCTCTTACCTTCGATGACTCCCTGCTCCGTTCCTTCTCCCTGATGAGCGAAATGAGTGCTGCCGTGATCAACCCCCGTGCTTTCAACCCAAGCGTACTCTTCGTGTTGAAGTTCGCTGAGAGCCCCTCCTTAATTTTTTGGAGGTGATGGTCCGAGTAGATTGTACCAGTGAGATGTGACAGAATATGATCGATGATTACAGTAGCGTCTTCCCGACTTTGTTCTCGTGCCCGTTTTCCGTAACTGAACCCGCGTGGCCACCAACAGGGGTCCTGCAAAAGGTGGGAATCATGATGTTGAAGATTGCGGTAAATTCGACTTCACCAGCACGTAGCGTCCCCTGGTGCACGCTAGTTGAGCACAAGCATTGAGCACAAGAATGCCTCATATGGAAGAGTACTACCTTGAGCGTCTTCGACCGCGGTTTATGGGGGCTCCAATGGGTTTCCTGCAAGGTTGCAAATAAGATGGTTGAAGATTTAGGCTTCCACCATGTGGCCCATGGCAAACAGAAAGGATTCCTGCATGGCCAAATACCACAGTCAAAGACTGGGGCAAATCCGACTTTACCAGCACATAGGGTCTTCCTGGTGCAACAGTATTTGAGCACGCATGCTTCGTATGAAGAGTACTACCTCACTCACCCTTGATAGCTCTACAGTGGGGCTGTTGAGCTTTTCCATCTCCTGCATAAGGGCTGCCAGGATTGCGCTCACATCATTCTTGGAAACGCCTCTCGCCGAAAATGGCACCTTCAATCTATGAGCTTGGATGGCCTCCAACTCTTCACTGCACACATTGTTACGACCTGGTGTAAGCCCGTCACAAGAAGAGGCAGCTCAACGATTGTGGCAGATTGTGACCACTGTGAGTGCTAAGTATTTTTGAAAGAAGAAAAGTCTTGTGTACCATGTGTCATGATACATCCCCTGAACTTGACAGAGACTCTTGACATGAAACAGAAGGATACGCACCTTGTAAATTCTGCTTCCCTGAAGAATGTTGCAAAACCTTCTTTGTGTGCTTCAAGGGAGGGCGACACTTCAACTTCTCCATTGATGCAGATAAAGAACGAGCAATTCATTTTCTCAAGGTATGCGCTCGCGCATTGCACTGCTGCTTTGACTTCGAATGGAACATTTGGCCCCCTTGGTTTCAACTTGCTAATCAGGTCAGGCATCTTCTCCATGGAAGTGCACTCAAGATCATGGGTAGTAGAGCCAACCCCACCAAACTGTCCTCCCCCAAGCGGACACGCATCATTGCCTGCTGTTTCTCCAGTCGGAGCCATTTCCACACTCTCCAAAATCTCAGAGTCTCTCAAGCCCTTGAAGTCATCACCATCCGTCCTTGGAATTTCCGACCGAAACACACCGCTGTCAAGTGACTTCCGGGAGCGAGCACTAATCCCTGTCAAATGCTCTTTCTCTGGCAAATCCGCACTAAAGCCCATTGCTTGCCCCCCTTGATCCACATCAGAACCCTCTTTCTCAACCCAAGGGTCCCTCGCAGACAAGCTACGAGACCGCTTCAAAGTATGGCCATCGTTTCCCGTTCTCCCAGGTCCCTCATTACGGTCCTCCCGTAAGAGGAGGACCCCCAGATTCTTATCCACTATCACTTGGTTGTTGATGCCAAGCACCGGCTTGGAGAGATGACCAATCTCTGGTGCATGCTCTTGCTCGACCAGACAACCATGATTGCCAGTTGCTTGGCACCCTAGATCCGAGCTGGCAGTGTTTTCTTCTGCAAGGAAGTCAAGGTTACCCGTGGGGACATCGAAGAGCCAAGACACCGACCCACCATTGCTGCCAGCTGTGTCAACACCGATCCCGCCCACATCCCTTGAAACATTCTCATCGTCGACAAGTGCTCTCTCATAATTGGGGCCATCTCCTCCTGCAACTAGTTCTCGCAATTCCTCGTCTTCCTGAAGGCTCCGAAGCAATTGAGTGAAATCGTCCTCAGGTAGGGAAGCACTCCCGCTCATGGCTCCGACTTGCTGCTAAAGCAGCCTTTACACACGGACCAGTGCTAGAACGTTCTTTGCCACTGCCTTTCAAAAGATAATTGCAGCGCGTGTACAAATCCCACAGCTTCTTGGAACTTACACCCGGAGCTTGGAACGCCTTCTGCGACTGAGGTGTCAGTGAGGGCATGAAGAAAGGTCATCCCCGAATTGTTCGGTTCCCGTACTTAGATAACGTACCGCGCCTTATTGGGATGACATCATGGACATATCCAACCGGAGGCTGCCAACTGGGAAAAGTTTTGGGGACGGTGAATGTCTTCACGCCACGTAGTCAGCAGTATTGCCCGGGTCGAATGTCTAAAGTTCCACCGAAACCGTTCAGCACAAATTTGGCGGCAAGTCAGACATGAAAGCGGACCGTCAATACGGGTTTCCAACGGTCATCTGAAGAACAGAAATTCAAGCACTCGGGAGCTACCGTAGCTTAGTGTAGAGTCAACTTGAACTAGCTTTTATTCTCACATCACCCAGAAGCTACTGTTGAAGGAAGAGAATGGCGGCCAAGAAAACTTCAGAGGAGACAGGATTCATCAGAAAGGACTCTTTCGGGATCTGCGAGTTGCATTTGGAAGATGGGGGCATTTGCAAGCAAAGGTTTCCGCGTACCCGTCAGATGGAGCTTTTCCAACAGCACAGGCTCAAGGTTCACTTTGAGGAGGGGCCGCTTCCTGTTATCAAGCTAGGACCAGTTGCGTCTGTTTCAAAAGAAGAGCAGAATGCCAAACATGCTGCTCGGCAGCGAAGGTATGCAGCTAGTGTTTTAGGGTTTTAGGGTTTTAGGGTTTTACGGCAGCAGCGTTGAGTTCTTTGTTTATGGCATTTAGACGTAAGCCAGTGCACGCTCTCAAGCACTTGCCTTCCATGTACAATCCTTAGCCTAATTCTCGGTGGTTCATCTGACAGATCAAACATGGTTCTCACAACCCGTCTACAACAAACAACTCGCTTCTTACAGACTCAGGCTTGGACTCAGGCTTGGACCCTGTTCAAAAATTTGAAGCAACAATCCAGTGTGTTCAGCAAACACTCCTAGATTGATGGGGCCCTCACGTTTTTACATACTTTGTTTTTGGACTACTGCATCCTACTACAATGGCAGGAAGTTTCAAACCGAGGTGCAAATGTTTAGTCAACTACTTACATTGGGTCATGTCGATACAGTACTTGCAGGTTCCACGATCTCTCGCTGAAATTGCCTCATCCCTCTCTGTGGTCAGGCGTTTGAGCTCTCCCTCAAGCACTTTGATCGCAAGCTGTGCATTGCTCACCCACACAATTGCCTCTGCATTCATCGATGTTATCTGCTTGTCGCTCTTTACAATCAGAGCAGCGTTCTCTTCCTTCAGTTGCCTCACCAAAGCCTCAGCAAGCAACAATTGGCCCTCCAGTTTCGCAACCAATCGACGAAGAGATGCAATGTCGTTGCCCATCTCGCCGTCTCATCCGGCTGAATGATGAAGAACTACTCGTCTGCAATGGAAAGGAAGAGAAGCAAAGTTCCTTCCTTCTTCGTAAATCTCGCACGCGGATATCCAAAATCTGCGAATCTTCGCCGACTAGGGACAGCCACAAGTTCATAAAGTCGCACCTAAGTGTGCGTACTTTGTCCACCGCCTATTCTGTTCACCACACGTATGGCTGAAACCCCCATGTGTGACCGTACGATCCCGCACAAGAGTTTTAGAGTTTAAAAGAGTTTAAAAGTTTTAGAGTTTTACCCTAAAAAAGTGGTCAGAGTTTGATGAAGTGTGTACACAAATAAACATGATGGTTTTTATTAGAAGTGGATACTACACTGCATCATCAACGTTACTGAGAATCTTCCTTACATGTTGGTTGGCTCGTTCAAACTCAGTAGCACCGGGCCTGAAAACTATGCGCGATGCGATACAGGCTAGCATGGCATCCCAATACCGCAATCTCCGTACGTCAAAGACAAGGGGCGCAAAGCCATTGAAAGCGAGCATGAGCAAGGCCGGTGCCCCGAAGAAGTCGAATGCTAAGCAGAGAACAACGTCTCATGTCACAAACAATTCCGCTTAGAGCATAATGTCGGGCGTCGCCGCCGCCAACGCCGCCGCGGCGGCAAGCCTGGCCGGTGATAGACATGAAGATGACGGGAAGTTGCTAGCGGTGATCATAACAATTTCAGTGCTGGGTGGAATCATGCTGCTATCGACGGTTGCCTATTGCTGCTGCAGATACGTGTTCAATCGAGAACCCGGACACCGCAGATGCTGCTGCTGAAGTAGTAGACGGAACTGTGCCTGGAACATCTTAGAGATGGACGCTCTGCTGAACCCCCTAAAACCCTAAAACCCCCCTAAACCCCCCCCTGACCTCATTTGAGGGTTTTAGGGTTTTACCCCTCAACGACACTAGAACGAGGCGGTACTGGCCCGACTGGGCGTACATTTCGGACTGTCGGATGTCAACGACAACACACAACACACAACGCACACAGAGGGGACGCCAAGCAGGCCGCCAGAAGGGACTGTCAGATCGTGGATATCGACACTCTCTCGCAGTGACACAAAAATACCGGTACTAGTACCGGTACCGTACCGTAATGTCAAAATGTGAACATTCTCGCGTTTTACGGTAGATCAGGTACCGTAGAGGGAGCGTTGAGGGATGCAGTGTGCCTAGCAACCCCCAAAGGTGCCCAGCAGCTAGCAGGGCAGTGTCTCATTCGCTGCGAGCGGGGTGGAGAGCGGACCCTCACTCATGACGGCATCCGGGACGTCGTGTTTGTCATTCTTCAAGAGGCGGGGCTCAGTGTCAGGAGAGAGGCGAGGGGCATCTTTCCATTGAGGGGCGATGAAACGGAGGGGAGGGTGATGGATCTAGTGGCCGCAGACCCACAAGCGGGGCCGCGGTTGCTGGTGGATGTGACAGTGGCGGATCCGCTGCAGACGCCCGTCACGGCATCGGCGGTTGAGAGGGGGCATGTTGCACGAGCTGAGGATTGTGGGCCCCCTCCTCAATCATTGGCAATATCATCACTTTCAATTGGGATGGAAAGTAACCTTATTATGCAAAGTCTTTAAAGGACAAATGATCCGCTAAGATGGACTATATATAGTTCCTTTTCGAATGGTGCAACTGCAACGTGTCATAAACCTTGCTAGATTAATGAAAACCCATGCCCGACCTCAAAAACTAGAGCGGGTTGGAACGGAAGCCACCCAGTGGTACAGAATTTTGCGCCTCGGGGTCAATACATGTGCAACGACAGTCATTACGACATATATCCCAAAATGCTTGCAGACATGTTCACGGTCATGCACTTGCCAATTAAATGCCTGTCGACATGTCCACAGTCATGCACTTCGCCAAAATGCCTGCATCGCCAAGACAGACTCAACTTACCATAATAATAATGATAACAGTAAACCTGAAGTCAGAAAGTCAACGCCGTATGCCAGGGAAGTCAACGGCTTGACAAGAAAGTTGGACAACGTGCCGCGACTCTCGTAAAATAGGTATGGGGGTTCTATCGGGGGAGGATAAAGTACGGTAGCTTCCGCTTTGACAGCCAGCAAGCCCTACGGTACGGGATTGACTTCTCGATTGTACGGCATCGGGAGCAGTTCATCTGTCGCACATGGCGACACTTTCGGAAAGCTTGATGCCTTGCCAATTGGCAAGTTGTAAAGGCACTTACGTCCGTCGCCACGTCTTGCGACATCATCTTGACTCGGATGGCAACATTGAATCTTTAAGGTGCGACGCGGCGACTTTCGCATAACAGATGTGTGGTCATACGGTACGGTACGGGTCCCCCTTCCCCTTCCCCTTCCCCTTCCTTTGGCAGAGCGCTTATACCCCATTCTTATACCATTCTTATACCTTCAATGGGGCACAAACGCGCAAAAGGCGCCAGTGTGATATCCCCTCTGGGGAAGGGTTGCTGCATTCTATCGGAGAGGCACTCTTCATGCCGGATATCCTAGAAACACAACACTCACCACACACCACACACACACACCCTTAGTTTAAACCCCTTTATTTAGGGGTTTTTGTTTAAGGGGGGGGTTTTAGGGTTTTAGACCAATTGACTGCCTTCCGATCCTCGTCAGACAGTCATTGTGCCGCGTCAGCAGCAAGATCGGACGGTGCAGAATCATTCCGGTTTGTCGAGTCGGTAATGACGATAGGTACTGCTTCAGAGCTGTTTGCCCCCATTTGCCCTTCAAACCAAGCACTCACCCCGTTTTCCGACTCATTTTGCCCACCACACTACACCACACCACACCACACCGGTGCCTCAGCTGTGCTACTTTCCATACCTCCCTGTCCGCAATGTAGCGCTGATGCGCTTTCTCTTGCGCTTCATCGTCCTCCTCCAACTGCTTCAGAGTGCCTTCGTCAATCTTGTCGAGGAAGTAGCTGTCCAGCACCTTGCCGAAACTCGACACGAAGCATATATGGAGTCATGCAGATCAAGCTAAGGAATCCAGACACACACATGCAAGGATGCCATGATGCCCCTCGCTTGAAGAGGCGCCTTAAGTCTGTGGCAGACCCTAGTCAGTAGAACCTGCGTATTCTTTTGAAGCGGCGGCTTTTACCGGCGCCATTCACAGCTGACCCCGCTTTGAACTGCTCGAAGCTACTTCACAACGGTCCACGCAAGTGAAGTCACAGAAAGTAAGATTGAGACACGGACAGTCGAGCTAGGTCCGGCAAAGCGACGTCCAGTAAGAGCCAGCGCGTCTCGAGAATTAACACGATTTTGTACGGATGTATGTGTTACAACAAAATGAAAGGCGACAGTGGACAGCCAGCGCGTGAAATGCAAGAAGCGTAGAAGAGAATAATGTGAAGAGATGAACTGTTGACAAAGTTGAGAAGCGTGTGAAGTATGAGGAACTAATGGCATGAATCGTTTTTAGTAGTCCTAATTGAACCTATCAATGTGGGCCCGAGTGACGTAACCCTGGTTGCTTATGAAGTTGTCTGGCCCTGAATAATTGCGGATTAGTTGCTAAAGGTGGCGAATGGCAAGGGCTTGCTTATAGGGCCCCGTCAATAAAGAAAATTACAATGATCCGACTCCAAATCGCAACGGAATTAACCAAAAGGGGTATAGCTAGTTACTTCGTGCATGATAACCTCGGCGTGTGCTACAGTGTCTGGATCATTGGCTCCGCTCTCAGCCACCCGGTTTTCGTCACCCGACAGGTGGCCGTCGGAAGCTCCCTACCCCGGACCGGAGCTCGACTCCTGCTCGCCTTTTGCGTCACTAGCCGCCAACCTCGTTATGTGTTCTTATATGCCTCCAACATGGTTGCTTCTCCATATTGAAACAAAGTGCCTTTTCGAATGGTGCAACTGCAACGTGTCATAAACCTTGCTATATTAATGAAAACCCATGCCCGACCTCAAAATCTAGAGCGGGTTGGAATGGAAGCCACCCCTTGCGCGGGCAATTCCTTCCTTTATGACGGTGATGACTCTGCACAAAGAGTTAAACCAAGACGAGTTTGTGATCTTACATTGGGCATTGTGCACAGGTGCCCATGCTCAGGAGTGTATCAATTGACATGGCTGATGCAAGCCCCTCGAGTCAGCTTGTTGCTTCAAACCATAACAGTGTGCACATTATGCAGGAATGAAGGAACTTGTGCAAGGTCTAATTCAGGAGTCTCGGATTGCTACCGCATCACCGAGGCCAGGTGGGTTAACGGACTGCAATGGGAAAGTAGTCTAGCGCAGCGGGCTTATCCAACGAGCCTTGCTCCTGTTGCCAGAGTGTTACAGAATTTTGCGTCTTGGGGTCAATATATGTGCAACGACAGTAATTACCACATGTATTCGGGGTTCCTCGTTGATCAGCTGGTAGCACGAAATGACAGCAAAGCCGAAAACATGGCAGCCTTAACGTCAGGCGACGCAGATGAGTGTGTCAAGCCGTCCTTGGTTTGGCATCTTCCAACTTTTTAGAAGCGCTTTTGAAGCGCTGTATGGGGCCCTCTTTTATTTTATGAGGAAGAAAAGACTAAAATGCTTAACCGGCGGTGCCATGCAAGTCATGTATGCATAAGTTTGCGGAATTGAGGAGGAAAAGCGCACATTCTCTGAGCAATCTCCTAAAAGTAAAACGTGATGCTTGTACCAGTGCCAGCTGGGAGACAGAACCGAAGTAGGAATGACGAGAGGGGTTTTCTTGGAGCTTACGAGTTAACCACTGAGATGACAACAGCCGCCACCTGGAGGCCCACCATGACGTAGCCAATGGCGGACTGCGTCGTCCGCATCTTTCCAGCCGGGCTTCGAACGTTCTGTCTGATCAGCAGTGCCAGCGCAGAGAGCACCACTCCCAATTCGCACATGGCGCTGAGAACCTCCGCCAGCTGTAGCCTCGTTGCGCGGAAGGGCTGATGGGGCGAAGGAGAAATGGTAGAGGGTTCAGCGCAGGAAAAAGTAGATGGCGTGGGAAAAGTGCACGGAAGGAAGGATGCGGGGATACAGTGCAGGAGGGGATACACCGCACTTCACTGATGAGATGATCGTCCTTGAACAAATTGCACTTTTTGTGGCAATGATGACGCGGCTTGAAGATGATGAGAGATTCATCCGCTGGTATTGGCGAGCTCCTTCAGAGCCTAGGGTAGGGAAGAAGTACGTGGCGCAGCGAGCATAAAAGAGCAGGGACCGAGCCGACTCGATCAACAGTCTTCCTGAGTAAAGGTCGCCTCCCTGTTTCACTCTGGCGGGATTCGAATATCAGGGTGTTAAGTGCTCTACATACAGAGACTTGTTACGGCCTATCTTGCATATGCCAACACCCCATTGGATGAACAAGAGAAAAAGGACGAAAAAATTCGAAGCTTGGATCATGCGGGTTTCGGCGAACCTGTTAGAAACTTTGATCAGAGCTTCGGAGCCTCCACGAAACGGTTCGGATCGAAACTGGCCGGTACTTAGTCCTTGCTGATGTGTAAGCCTGATACCGTGCTAAGGATTTGACCGATGAGACTTTTCAACGGTTACGTTCGTTTCGCTTCGTCCAGCGTTTCGCGATTCCGTCTAAAGCCACCAAAATGAATCCTCACATGCTGGCTGCAATCAGAAGAAGGTCCCGCAGAGCTTGACGAATAACAGCATGCATACTTTCTGCGTTTCCGACTCGCTGAACGAACACGAGAGAAGAAAATTTGAAAGAGCTCACCCTGAAAAGGATTAGCAGCATCACGAGCACCAGCCGTAGAGAGAACGACACCCCTACTTGCCAGTACGAGGCTCGGATGCCTTTGGTCGCACCGAGCATGGAAATCTCGACCAACTGTTGGAGAAGGAGGGTTTTGTCAAAGCTGAGGGAATCCATCAAGAGAAAGAAATTCGGAACTCAAAGCGTACAAAATCTGGGTCCGGGAAATCCCCTTCTGATACCATTCTCTGCTGACATTGAATCAACAAGAATCTTTCCCTTTCTACCCACAGCACTTGCGCTCCGTTTCTGTATCAGGAGGACGTCTCAAGAAGACTCCCTTCCATGGTCCGTGCTTTTGACGGTCTCGCTCAAGCTCTCATATCACCGTAGATTTGTTCATCTATTTCGGTATTCAATCAGATTTTCTAAGAAGGATTCATAGTCTGTCAGACCTCCGGCGTAGCATCAGCAGTCAATGTAGAAAGAGCGATTCCACGCCATCGGCATCACACTAACTACTCCATCCCGGGGTAATTCTCGCCCTTGTACGGTAGTATCACCTTCCACATTTTGGTCGAGAGAAACGACTATTGCATGTACGCTGCAAAGCAGTGACTGACTTACCACAATCAGCAGATACACCACCTTCCAAAGCGGCCTCAGGTCGGCGCTCGGTCCGAAGCGTCCGACGCGGCGCACCACGCGTCTCGCGTTCTCAGCCCCTTCCTCGAGCGCCAGTCTCGCTTCTTCCGCAACCTCCTCCTTATCCGTGAAGTACGAGCGGCCGTTTTCTTCTACAGCGGTGCTCGATGTGAGCTTAACTGACCCAGGCACCATTGCCCTTGCTGGCGGATCCATCTTGGCATTGGCACTTTCGACGGCCAGGTCCCTGTCGTTGTGATCGAGTTGAACTGATTCTAAATCAGTGCGGAAGCTTCTGTTGTTCAAGTGCAATTTCGAGGGGCGTCCGGCAAAGTCGGTATAGAAGAAGCCGTACTTTGCCACGAACAGATTCCCTTCCGAGGGGTCAACAACCTGCCACGTGCCGTGCACCGGGGCGCGGAAGCAAGAGCGGGTGTCGTCATCGGAGTCCTCTCTGACGAACGCAACCGACTTGCTCTGAGACGGGGATGGAGCAGAGAGCGTCAGACGAAGGTCGGGAGTATCCTGCCTTTTGGACAATGAACTTAGGAAGACGAGGTAGCGCCGAAAGTGCGCTACGATTCTTTTGAAAACATGGGGGCCTCTTCGCAAGCGGAGCGTATCAAGCGTGACCACACCTGTTCGTCTATCCGTTTAAGGTGTCACAACCGCCGGCCAGCTTCTGTGTGCTGAAAGAAAGCTGAACGAAACCTGAACCCGTGACGGACTGTTCTGTTCGCTTGGAAAGCTTTAAGCGGCTCACCATTGGGTAGCCACATGATAGCTGTAACTTAACTAGTGAGCGAAGGTTTACTCACATTCACGACATGTATCCAAAGGATACCGGTAAGGAAGACGAGGTGGGCGGCGATGCAGGTGAGAACAACCGATGCAAGCACGATGGCCGCCATCGTTCCACCTGTACAACGACCAATTACGCAATGCGCATGATTCATCTTTATCATCTTTCAATCAACGATTCATGTCATTTCAGAGGCTGACGCACACACAATCAGAAGCAATCGGTTAAGTGATTTCGCACGGGCCTTCGTTTCTGGTACTGGCGTAGTCACTAACCCGCTGGTCGGGCAGCCAAACCCCGAACTCTGTGGCGCGCAGTGCAAACTTGTCGAAGATCCTACAAAATCGCGCGACATGTGGTCCAACAGACTGGAATCTAAACTGACGGCTGCATATTACTTTCAGTAGATGCAGACAGAAGGCGAGAAAGAAAGGGTTACACTTTCGAAAGATCGTTCACCCCAGGCAACCCGTTCGGATACTAGCAAATCTCTTCGAAGGAGGTGTGCTCATAACCAGGACAGAATCCTAGACCGCACTGGCGCTGAATCAAAGCCCCAAGTCCGTTGGGGAGTAGTACTACTCTAGCGGATTGGCTTGCTGCGGAAAAGGTGTACAGAGCGGAACCAGATTGCTGCGGAAAAGGTGTTCAGAAGGGAACGCCCGGCTGCAGAAAAGTTGTTCAGAACGCCGTACCTGTCAGCGCTCTGACGCACAGGTGCGTCAGCGGCAGGGTTGCAAAGGTCAGAAAGATGAGCTCGGGCCCGGGAAAGACGAAGAGGGAGGGAGCGATGTGGCGCCTCAAACACCAGGCTGCGAGCGCTTTGCTGGAGTGGAAGAGCACCATCAAAACTAGGATGGTGAGAACCCAAAAGACTGCTCGGACCAGGGCGCGCAATCTGCAAGGCACAGCGAAGACTTTCAAAGACATATCAACGTCACACTGCAGATGAAGACGCTGTACCTGGCCGCCGGCCACAAGAAACCAGGGGTAGGCGTTCTGAGGTCACATGATTCCGAGACATGTTCAGGGCGAGATCCGAGCCCAAGAGGTAACGAAGTAAGCAGACATACCCGTCATTTTCTGCAAGAAGAGCCCGCCTGTCCGCGTTCACCGTCAGTTCCGCGCCGTACATACTCGGATCCGCCTCCACGCTCGCATTGAACGGAACCGTCTCCACCGTTGCTCGACTGAGCACCGTCAGGCGGACCGGAACGCTTCCATTGTCCCAAGTGAGCGTGCGGCTTTCAAACGGCGCCTGTGGCTCTGGGGAGCCGCTGTTTCCCGGCAGTAGGTTGTCGAGAGCTGAAGCTGTCGGTATGAGACCGTCGAAGGGACAGGGCCAGTTGAACAGCGAAAATGAGAGGCCCGAGCTCGCATCCAGGTAGGGCGCTGGCAACGGCGCTTGGAGGTTCTGGCGCGCAGCGAATGTCGTGATGCTGGCGGCGGCGGTCTGCAAGCACGGTTCTAGCGATTTGTTTGGCCATTTCGACGTCGGTCTAAGGTTCTGGTTTACAAGAGTCGCCGCATAAACCAAAGGAACCCTGCGATAGACCAACGGAATCCTGCCATGGACCAATGAAACGCTGCCATGGACGAATGGAATACTGCCAAATCCGTTGCATCATCCTCTTATGATAACGAAACTGTACTTCTCGCCCCCCGGATTGAGAAGAGCAATAAGTGTCCCTTGCAGTCTCTCTGCTTAACTCACGTGTCTGGCTGTGCCGAATATACCAGGAGCTCGTTCCTTTTGCAAAAAGGAAGCAGAAAAAGCAACGAGCAAACAAACCTTGAGAATATTGGTCTCATCTTAGAGCTGTGGCAGATTGCCCGTGCTTTGCACTTTTTGCCACAGGCCCTTGCGGGAACTCGAATGCCAACCCAAGTCTCCTATCCTATATCTTCAGTAACCAACAATAGTTTCTCCTCACCATGAAGCTCACGGATGCCGACACCCCAGCACTGGTCGCCAGTAAGCCCAGCGAAACAGCGGCCATCGCACGGATCCCAGCTTCCAGGTTCTCGTTTTTCACATCTGCTCATACAACGATACGATGTCAGCAGAGGGTGGTGAAAGTCTTCTTCTTGCAGTGGTCTTAGTACGGTCCTAGTCCTAGGCCCTACGTAGGAACTTGCAGGCCGGCCTCCTTGCATCTCGGTAGAAAGACACAAAATACAGAAGTTAGTCAGCTAGACTGGTGCACTTGGCGCGAAGTCCAAAATCAACTTTCCTCAATGAGATTTTAGACTCTTCCGTTTTAGGAAGACAAGCGGGTTGGCTTAATGGGCAGCGATTCTACGACTCAAAATCAGCATCTATATGCATCAGCAGATTGACTCGACCCACTACTACTTTAAGCGAGATTGTAAGATGTCAATAGGAATGCAAAGGCGCAGCAATTCTTTCTTCATTTCTGCTCACATGTTTCAAACTGACGCTCTATCCTAGCTCCTCGATAGGTTTAGTACATGTTGGGGCTTCAGAATATGCTAAAACAAGCAAGAGAAGCGTTTCAGGAGAGCGCCAAAAGGCAGCCAAGCCGAGAAGCTACGGTATAAGGACAATCTTGAAAGACATGGCCGGGTAAGCGGACGTGGCATCCTGTTGATTCTTACAGAGATGCAGAATGTCTGCAGATTTAAGATGTAAAATCTTGGGACAGGGGCGAACGGCTGTGTCGGATACAGGTTACGAATCGAAGAGCCTGTTGGGCGATGAACCAACGGACATTGATCTCTCGATTTTCCAAGGCTTCGCCGATTGCATAGAAATGGCAGAGCTAAAATGAAGGGTGGAGACATCGTCTGGGATCTGCTGCCCCGGGCGACTTACAGTGTTGGACCTGCAATTGATTGGACGCCTCGTTCCCCTTGCCTACTGCGTTGAAGGTGATGTTCTCAGGCGCCTGAATGAGCAGGTTTCCAAGCGGGTCGATGGCTATGGTGAGGGCATACGAGGAGCCGCCCGACTCAATGGCCTCCTCGGGTCCAAACCTGGATCGAGAAGAAGGTAGGGGCTTCCATTCTGACCTGAGAACTCTGATCCGCTATGCTGAAGTCAGCTGTACTATTTTATGAAGACTACATGCCGACTGCAAGACGTATGCACTTGTCTTCCCTTTATGCAAGATTCATGTCTCAGTCATCCTGGTCGCTTGTAGTTAGAAGAAATGCAGACTGGGCCTCTCGAAGCGCGAAGGAGTACTTCAAAACCATGATCCAATCAAACAGCGTCGCATCTCGAGATTTTCGCCTCTCAAGGTGAAGGGCGCAGATGTATTTCCTCACGCGGTCAGTGTCCCGTTGGTGATGTTCAAAGAGCTCGGGGAGAAACCATAGACTCTTTCATCGAAGGAGAGCAGGACTGCCACAACGCTGTTTGATGTCAGCTCAGGGGCGCTCGACAGTGACGTCACACCAGCTGGGCCGGTGACCACGAGCGCCAGCAAGGCCTTGGGACGTCGTGCGTCTGCAAAAGTGGATGACTAGGAGTGAGCTATCTTCGAGACTGCTGTGCTTCAAGCTGTTGCGACCAATCCTAAACTCCATCCAGCACAAACTTTCATGCTTGTCCTCAATGTTTGCAGAGTAGATTCAGACTGAACATATTACAAACTCTAGGACTGCATGCAGAAGCATATACTCCGTGAAATATTAGGCCCAGAGACCGTCTGACAGTGAAGTGATGAACTCGAGCAGGCGCAGAGCATTCTCATGGCAATGACTCGCGCAACAAAGGCGTCTCCAAGATCAAGACTTCTAGACACTCTGATCTCTGCACAAACGCCCTGAAACATGGTCCATGGCATGCAAATGTAACAGGCTAATCTGACCACCTAAGAAGATGCTCCCACCCGCTCCAAGTCTAGCTTTGCTTAGCAGCCATGTGCAGTGGCAACATGAAGCATTCAAGGTTAAGGAATCGAACGGAAAAGGAGCGCAGGTGTCTTCTTACCAAAATACACGGTGTACTCAGACTCGCCGGTCAGCTGCATGGGGTTCAGAGCCCGGTCCGTAGCCCCGGGTCGTGCAGAGACTCGGATCAAGGACGGGCCCACCCCGGAAGGGAACACCTGGATGGACAAATCTTAATCCTTTTTCCCTTCATCCGGCCGTGCCGACCAAACCCGTTCCCTTCGCATTCGAGCGTTTGCGAACAATCGACCCGTTGATTCAAGAGATTGCCCGTTTCGAACCTAATCTGTTCCCTTCCGATTTGGTTGTTGCGTACCAATCTATGACCGCTTACCTTCCAAATTGACCGTCGCTAACCTAACCTTTTTTCCCCTATGAACGTATAATGTTTCCAGTGCAAAGTTCCATGACCTAAGTGGTCTCAAGGCGGTTATTTATAGACTACTCGGCTAGAATGTACCTGAATGTGCCACTCTCAAGTCCTTTGATGTCATTGTCAAAGTCTGCAAAGTTCACATCGGAAACTCCTCATTTCGCACATGCGTGCTTGTTTCCAAAGCGAACTGGATTCCCCGGTCATAAGACCGAGAGCAAAAATGTTGCTATCACAAGATGGCACTCAGAAGGAGGTTGCAGAAATTGAGTTTTCTGAACGCAGTCGAACCTGGACCTGGCCGTCCAATCGAGTCATCCAACGGTCTCCGTGTCTTTGCAGCACCCCTCAGTCTGATTATACACGTTGACCCAATATTTAATGCTGCCAACAACATGACCATCTGACAAAGATGCATAGCTCGTCACATGTGCACACATGGACGGTCCAGATGTCTGATCGACGCACAAAAAACTTTCGAAACCTGGTGCGACGCTCTCCGACTTTGCTCGCTCTCAGAAGCTCTTTCTAAGGGCAGACAAATGCGCCTCGCAGGGGAAGGAGTACGCGACCAAGTAAAGCGGCAAAGCGACTGCATTTGGACCATGCCATGCTTTCACCTCTCCATCTGTATCCACCGCAACCGTTCCCGTCTAAAAACGGCCGATCATGATAACAATTGCAGCCCCACTGGTTCCTTAGCTCCGCCATGTACAGCAGCTCAAACTACCAGCAGTTCCAATTCGGATGATGCTTCCTTCCCCTCTTACCTGGAATCGATATGCGACCGCGCTTGAGTTACCCCCCTCTTGCAACAGCCTCCGTGTGCCCCCCGAAGCAAGTGACTCTTCCCTCTGCCATCCCACCAGCGTTCCCCCTTCCACAAGTAATGAGTCCTCGCTGAATGGCTCAATTGGCTCGCTTAAGACAGCGCGCCCTGGGAATGGCTCGAGCGAGTCCCAGAAAACAAACAGGGTCGGTTGTCCATGGCGGAGTTGTTCGAAGACTCTCGCCTCTCCATCCGCGGCTTGGAGCGCAATCGAGATGGTGGGGGGGACGGAATCTGCAGTTGGGTGAAGGGAAACATCGGGTTACAAACGTCTTGACGAACAGTTGGTTATCGCTTTTTCGAAAGAAAGGAGCGGGCTCTGAGCCGAGATTTGTTCTTTTGGAATGTTTCTGGCCATCTCGTTGTTTCTGATTGAGCTCTGGGGAGACGCCGAGTAGGATAAAACGTCAGAAGGTTCCTAGTAAGCCGACGCACGACTATCCTTGCTGCAGATAATTCTGCAAGGCCAACAACCCCGACACAGTGCGTTGTAAACAAACGTGCTCCCACAAGAACGGGCAAGCAGGGAAACGATGACCACATGATGGCCCATCTTTCCTCTACATAAGATCAGGCACTGCATCAGTCATGGCCAGAGTGAGCTGATGACCGTGCTCAATCATGCGCTTCCACTTACGTCAGCGACGTTCAGCGCCCAATACATTTGGCGCTGTGTCTTAGGCACTCACCAACAAGGAAGAAGGTGCTGTACACTGCAAACGGCTCGCTGGCATTACGCGTAGCATAGTAGCGGACGGTCATGCGGTGGTAACCGTCGCTCAAGCGGCCTGTTGCAGCACTCGCGTCTGCTTTCCCGCACTCTTTAGCAGAATCGTCATCTAGCTGCGGGAATAAAGCATTGAAGAGGCAAATGACTTCAGAATTGATGCGCAGGTCGATGTTAAATCGACAAACCCAGCTTACTAATCTAACTTCTGCCATAAACAGGATCGAGGCGATCGATGCTTTGCACGTACGTCACTAAGCTTAAAATAACAGGAACATGAAAGGGCGGCACATCTGTACCACTGATAGGCTCCGACACATGCCTGCGCAATTGGGTAGCCAATCGATTTTGAAATTAGTAGTTTCGATTTGCCTTGGGTCACTTCTGATGCATTGAGCAACAACAAGGTTTCACTGCTGGCGGCAGAGGGCTTTGCTTGCCTGGCAGAACGCCACGCACGACTGTCCGCATTGCTGCCCCGATGCAGGATCCAGATGGTATTGGACCACCGACTCCAACTGGTTCGTAAAATTTGCTTGTGGGGAACCCTGTGATAGAGAGCAATACTATTGCAAAGGGATCGAAAGTTGGATCCTTTTAAGGCTACACTTTGTTCCGCTCATGCAGGGCAAGAGAGGCGATTGCCATCAGAGCTCCTTCAATAAACAATTAAACTTGTCGAAAGCGAGGCACAAACATTCAAAGGACTCTATGATTCTTAGTAACTGTCTGCATTTCTGCTCTGCCATGTGCCAACGCCCAAGCTCATTTCTGAATCTGACACCCAAAGCGATTGCAATAAGATCAACTGGATGCAGCAGGGTTGATCTAATCAATGCAGTGGTGCAATAAGGAGAGCTGGACCCAAACGCTGGCCGGGAGGCTTCAAGAGCTAGCTTACCTGCAGTACGCTCCCCATATTTTGCGGAACAGCTGTGGAAAACCTCATCTGGTAGTTTGCGGTTGGCGCCACAGACCGCACGTTGCCCGACCCTCGCGGCAACTGGGAAGAAGGGGCCACTTCCAGTCTGCCAGGCACAAAGATTGTAGTATTCTGTACCCTCTGGCTAGAATTTCCAACACTTGCATTTTGCGCCGGAGCGGGCGCCGGAGACGTGTTTGAAGGGCGTGCTCCGTCGGGACTTGGACCAGGAGCCAGGGTTACATTGATTCTCCCAGGTGCGGGCGCTGGGGCGTACAGTACTGCCTGCGCCGGGCTGGGGGCAAGACTCGCAGTGGTATTTGTGATATTGGTTAGGTTTGGGCCCGAAGGAAAAGGTGCCAGCGTGACATTAGAAGAGTTGGACCGGTTCAGGGGGCTGATGGAGGGTGCTGTTGTGGTGTTTGACGAGTTGGTCCAGTTGGGAGCACTGGAAAAGGGCGCCAATGTGACGTTGGAAGAGGTGTTGTGGTTGGGGGAGCTGAGAGATGGCGCCAGACTTATGTTTGTCAATGACACGTTGAGGGTGGACGGTGCAGGCCCCAGGCTCGTGCTTGGGGGTGATGCGAAAATGAGGCTTCCAATGGTGGCCGCGCCTGGATTTGGAGCCAGCTTTGGAGAGACGTTGGTTGGTGCACTGGGTGGCAATGAAGTCGCTGCACGGGGCAAATGGCTAGGGCTCAGTGTGCAGTTACCAGGCGGTTCCAACGCGCCTGGAAAGGCGACGGACGCAGGGGGACACGGACGCCGGGACTGCTGTGAGCTGCAGAGATGGTTTAGAGATGGGAGATTCCTTTTTGAGGTTAAGAAATTGGGTGGGAATAGGTGACTGGCTAGGACAGGCGGCAATGCAAAGGGTGCCAACGATGCAGTTGCGAGGGGCAAAGTAACATAAGGAATCATCGATGGAAACGTGACATTTGGGCAAAGGCGACTCCACAGTGACATTGGGAAGCGCTGCTGCAAGAGTTGTGCAGGGGACGGACGCTGGGAGAGAGGTCTCAGTAGGTGCAGACAGGCGTGGGGCACCCGGCAGAATTGTGGGCGGTGGGATTGACAAGTCTGTACCTGGTGGCAGAGCCGGGGGAACAGCAACCCCAGTTGTTGGAAGAGGGTTGGCAGCCTCAGTGGGACTCGTGACAGGTGGCACGGCAGAGCTGGTGGGTGCTGGACTGGCTGTTGCTATGAGGGGGGCAGGTGAAGGATCCATAAGAGGCGGGGGTGTGGCTAGAACAACAGGGACTGGAGTGGGGGGAACTTCTGGCACTGCGGGAGTAGGGGGGGCTGATGTGCCAAGTGGGGTGGTTGTGGCAGGTGGCTCTGTTTCAGACAAGGGTGTTGCGAGCGGAGGGGTGGATGTCAAAGTGGGCGTCGCTGCCGGTACTGTCAGGACTGGTGTCTGAGGGGCTGTTGTAAGCACTGAGGTAGCTGCAGGCTCTGCTGAGGGCGCTGATTGACCTTCTGAAGTGGAAGCTGCGGCAAGGAGGAGAAACAAAAGGAGCTGGAAAGAGGGTAACAATCTGGGGGCCCGCATAGCTGCAAGCAATTATGCAATGCACGGCTTTGATCTGCCTGTCCCGCAGGCACTCTGGTCAGAGGCACTCGCGTCCCTCCTGCAGCAAATCTTAATGCTTGCGCGCTTGAGATATAGCTACAAAGCAGAAGTTTCTGTCCCACAGAAAAGTGCGAAGCACATATACAAAGCTGTCCAGTGATGCTCAAGAATCTGCCCCCAACTTGGCAGCATGCCCCATCCTTCCTTCGATTTTCGCGACTCGTATTAGAACGTCCCTCTTCTCCATTCAGTGAGAATTGAAAGGAAGGATGAACTAGAGGAAGAAGAATTGCAGGCGGCCAATTTGACTTTTGAGAGCTGCAGCTGTTTCATTATATCCAGCTGTGTTATGGGATGCTCAATCACACAGTAATCTCGCCTCCGTGCTGAGAGGAGTAGGTCACGGCAAAGCTATTGATTGCAATCCTCCTTCATTGACAGTAATTTTCTCTTCTGCTGTTTTCCTCCTGATTTTGGGTTCACTAAATGCCGGTGATTTCGTTGCCACATTGAAGTCCCACTCAAGGTCCGTAGTTTCTCCTTCCAAAGTAGAAGACATGGCAAAGTTGCTCTGTCGTTTTTCTGTTGCCATTGCCCATTGAAGCGTGATAATAACAAAAGGAGAGTCCACAGTCTCAATTTCTTCTTCTGAATAAGATGCGAGTGCCTTCCATTCGGTGTCCATACCAATAGCGTAAGCTCCGAACCGGAGTGGGTAAGCTTCTAGCGGCAACACTAGAATCAGGTGTACGACTTGCCCGGTCAGAAGGCAACAAACTGTTTGTGCCCTTAACGGTTGCCGCATCTACGACGATGTCGTCATGCATAGGTATTCTACAGAAAAAGATTGCCATTTACAGGTGTCATGAATGTGGCAAACCGAGTTGGGGTACGGTACCTCATATCACGAAGACAGGCAGGCTTGTCGGACTTTTGATGCCGAATCTGATGCTAGAAAGTCAACGACATGAGCTGGGAAGTCAACGGCTAGACAAGAGAGTTAGGACGACGTGGCCGCGACTCTGTGGGGTACGTTTTGTCGGCTGGATAGGTATTCTTTGGGAGTCCGATAAGATATTTTGTTACTTTTTCTGACTTCTTGACAAATTCAACGATGTTGACGTACAGTCCCCTTAATTGTTTGTCACGTAGTGTTGTCATACACCATTGCTCAATCCAAACATGTGTGCCCAAACATGCTTCTTGCGCCGAAAGTCACGTGACCAGCTTTAAATTCTCCCGCCCCACATCCAGCAAGTCCTTAAGTATTGACTTCCGGTTGTACGGCACTGGGTGAATCCGACGCCACACTGCTGGAAACTTTGGTTGCTGACATGCCAATTGGCAAGATGTCAAGGCACATCGTTGACCGCCACGTCTTGTGACATCATCGTGACTCGGATGGCAACATTAATGACGTTAAGTCACATCGCACCACTGGTAAAGAAAACATGTTGTCATAATTCTCCAGACCCTTGCCGAGTCTTGTGAACTCGGAATGCAACGTTTTATGACAACATTGTAAAACATCAGTGTCCAGTGACAGGTGCAGCAAGCAACGGGCGAAAGTGGACCAACAAACAGACCCCTCCCCACCGGGGGGGGGGAGAGAGAGAGGGTTGTGGGGGGGGGGACAAACAATGACCAATGACC